TGTCTTAGGCAGGTTTACACAACAAGGATAAGTGAACCTGGATAGGCACCAGATCTTGCGGACCCAGATCAGAATACAAAAGCATCAGACCAACAATATCTAAATGAGTTTTATCTTCCAAAGATTTCACTTGATGGCTTATATATTTATTCTAATATACTTTATGGTTCCAAAATCCTTTCGTAAAAAATTTAAAATGACACTTAATTTTTTTATATTTATTTTTTCTTTGAGGCTAATCTCACTGTCTAGAGGCCTGGTTGGCCTGGGACTCACAATGTATAGCAGAGTAGTTTTGAACTCACAGAGCTCTCCCTAACTCTTGTCTCCCAAGAGCTGGGATTAAGGGTGTATGTCACCATGTCTGATCTATTCTAATTTTAATTTGTGTGGGGGGGGTGCAAGTGTGCCACAGAATGACCTCTGAGGTAGAGGCCAGAAGACAATCTATGCAATACCCTCTTCTGCCCTCTGCAGGCCCCCAGGCATTAATGTGGCACACAGACATGCATGCATTCCACACATCCAGGAACGTAAAAGAAAATAAAATGGAGAGGGTCTGAGGAGATGGCTCGGCAGTGTAAGAGTGGGGTCTGAGTTCAGGTCCCAGAAAGTGCTTTTAGTTTCTCAGCCGCCTCTCCTGTCCCAATTAATAAAAAAGATGTAGAAGGAAGTTGGGTAAGGCATACCTTTACTGCAGCACTCAGGAGGCAGAGGCAGGTGGATCTCAGTGAGTTCTAGGCCAGCCAGGGATAAGATCCTGACTCAAGGCGCTGGAGAGATGACTCAGTGGTTAAGAGCACTGTCTGCTTTTCCAGAGGACAGGGGTTCCATTACCAGTATCCACACTGTCTGTAACTCCAGGATCCAACACCCTCATACAGACATACATGCAGGTAAAACATCAATATATATAAAATAAAAATAAATAAATTTTAAAAAAGATCCTGATTCAAAAACAAAAATGTGAAGCTATTCCTTTTGTTCCTTTGAAACAAAGTCACAGTCAGGCATGGTGGCACATGCCTTTAATCCCAGCACTTGGGAGGCAGAGGCAGGTGGATCTTTGTGGAGTTCAAGGCCAGTCTGGGCTACAGAGTGAGTCCAGGACAGCCAAGGCTACAAAGAGAAACTCAGTCTAAAACAAAAACAAAAAGTAGCCTAGGCCTTGAACTCATTTCCCAAGTGCTGGGATTAAGGTGTGTATCACCACATCCAGTCCTGATGGTGCTGGGGACTGAACCCAGGCCTCTCTGTGCATGCTAGGCCACATAGCCATATCCTAAGCCCAACTGTGTGTGTGTGTGCGCACACATGCAGTTCATATATATTAGTATATATCAATGGTCCCTCTCTGCCTTATACTTAAAAATTTTCATTTCCTCACTTGGGGATCTGACACCCCCCCCCCCCCCACACACACACCACAGTCTGAGTGTGTAACCAGACTAGCCTTGGGCGTGAGAGCCTACTGCTGCGATCACAGGTGTGTGCCACCACACCTGGCCTCTGGGGCTTTACTTTAAAAGGATCACCTGTTGGCTTTTCTCTTGGTGGCAGATGGCCACTTGTATAGGATCCTCAAATTCTTGCTATGTCATGGTTCTACCTTTCAAAGGTAGCTGGGTATTCTCCTTGGGATTTCAGATCAATGCCCCCAGCCCTCAGTGGGACTCTGCTTGCTAGGAGGCTCAGGGGAAAGGCTTACCAACAAGCTGTCTCAAGGTGAAGGTCAAACAGTTCCTTGCAGTGGAGGGCTGTGGCTCCCTTCCCTTTTTGACTTGTTGGTCTGACATGGCCCCTACAGCTTTAATGCCATCAGCGGTCCTCCTTGAGCTTTGAAGCTCTTTGACTTCTGCCCTCTTCTGCTGCTTTCAGCTCTAGAAGGCTCTCTGCTTTTATAGGCTCCTGTGACCAGAGCAAGGCTCCCTAGATATTCCAGGAGAGTCTCAGTTTAAGGTCTAACCCCTTCAGTATGTCTGTAATATTCCCATAGCTATGTCGCATGCCACAGGCTACAGGGATGAGGGCTCAGGCATCTCTGCGGAGCCATGAAGCCTTTCAAAAGCTCTTACTTCTTTATCTTCTGCACAGGACAGTCCAGCACCACCTCTCCCTTTAAAGGGGAGTTTGAAACAGTCTCATCTTTTTGAAGAGAAGAAACTGCAGACACCATTACACCCCCAAACTTACATGGACATTCCACTTTCAGCTGACAACCGTGAACTGTGATGCTCGTATCAGGTTAAATTCATCTGGTGGATTGAAGACTTGAGATGGCTGCATTTGACACGCCATTAAGTGGCACTTACAAAAGCTGGCTTTGCCTGTATGTTCTGGAAGTAGTGATCAGACAGACTGGAAGCTGGGATTCGGCAGCCTGGCAGTCACAGGGAGGTCCCCAAGGCGAAGCCAGTGAGGTTTGGACATCCTTGGGATATTGGAACAACTTTACAGATTGGGTTTTTTTGGTTTTTTTTAGCTTTTCAAGAGACAGGGTTTCTTTATGTAGTCTTATCTGTCCTGGATTTGCTTTGTAGACCAGGCTGGCCTCCAACTCACAGAGATCTGCCTGCCTCTGCCTCCCTGAGCACTGGGATTGATTACAGGCACATGCTACCACACCCAGCCTCGCATTTCAATGTTACCTAGCAAAGATAAAGATATAATTAAAATATATGTATATATGTATTTATTAATGTAGAATACTTTACAAATTTGTGTGTCTTCCTTGCACAGAGATCATGCTATTCTTCTCTGTATCATTCATCTTGGTGTGTGTGCTCCTGAAGCAAGCACAGGGAAAAGTAGAATAGTTTTAAAAATCATGGGCTCAAAAAAAAAAAAATCTCACATATGTAATATCTACATATATACAAATAAGACAGGATCTCACTATATAGTCCTGGCTGGCCTAGAACTTGGTGTGTGGACCAGGCTTGTTTCTACACCAAGCTGGGGTCTCTGAAGAGAAATGGCAATCACACACTTGTGCTCTCCCAAACGGCTCTTCAAAAATATGTAATTTTTTTTCATTTAAAAAATTTATTTATTATTATTTTATGTGCATTGGCATTTTGCCTGCATGTCTGTCTGTGGGAAGAAGTAAAATCTTGGAGTTACAGGCAGTTGTGAGCTGCCATGGGGGATGGGGGTTGGTCTGGTGGTCTGTATATTCAACTCCTAAATTCTGGGCCCCAAGATCTGGTGCATTCTCACATACACAGAACAATGTTGTGCATACTTTGCCCTCCAGTTATCTGTGATTGGTTAATAATAATATCAAAGCTGGACAGCCTGTGATTGGGCAGAAAAGAGGTATGTGGGCTTCTTCAGTTCCCCGGGCTTGGGATCTCAGGGAATGACTAGGAGAGAAGAAGGAAGAAAATGGAGAAAAGGGCATGGCCTGATGAAGCTGGTGCAGCCAGGACCAATACTGGCAAGTAACTTAGGGCGTGTGGCTGGGAAGTAGCCAGGCTAGCTTAGAAAATCACTGTAGAGAGCACCCGCCTAGTTACTGTGCTTAAAGTTTGCTGAGTCAATCAGTAGGCCTCTGCCTCAATTATTGGGAGCTGGCCAGCTTAGAAAAACCTACTGAATTAATAAATACTTTACAATAGTGGGTGCTGGGATTTGAACCTGGGCCCTCTGGAAGAGCAGCTTGCGATCCTAATCACTGAGCTATCTCTCTAGCTCCTCATTTTATTTTTATTTTATGTGTATGGATATTTTGCCTACACATATGTCTGCACCATGTATGGGCAGTATCCATCCATGGAAGCTGGAAGAGGATGTTGGATTCCTGGGACTGGAGTTGCAGACAGTTGTGAGCTGCTATGTGGGTGCTGGGAATTGAATGTAAGTCCTCTGGAAAAGCAGTCAGTGCTCCTAATTTAACCCTTGGGATAAAATGCAGAACTAAATATTCTGACTTGGGTTCAGCAGTGGCTTCTTAGACATGATACCTGAGTCACAAGTGAAAAAAAAAAAGACAACCTACATGATGGGAGAAAATATCTGTGGTTCATACAATGGCATTTCATATGAGATATGTTGAAAACACAACTTAATAGTAAGACAAATTACCCACTTACAGAATCAGAAAAGGGTCTGAAAACACAACAAACTGAATGAACAAAATAAAGAGCCGACAACATATGAAGAGATGCCAATATCAACCGACAACGAGGGAAACCAAGTCAAAACCTCAGTGAGAGACCATCTGCACTCTGCTAGGTGTGAAGGAATGCAGAAGAACAAGGGCCTGTGGGCGAGGGTGTGGAGAGACTGGAAGCCTGTGTGCTGCTGTAGGCCCCTCAAGGGTCCCGCCCTACAGAAAACAGTTGTCAAGATTGGCCAGAGAGTCTCTTGTGCGGCACTGTAAGGAAGAATCACCTCTCAGTAAAAAGCTGATGGCCCATTAGCTGAACCACACGAGCTCTGGCTTGTCTTGCTCACCTGCTGGAGGCCTTGTCCCCAGTGAGGCAGCACCACCCTTATGAAAGGCCAGAAGCGGAGGTGTGTGCTTATGGCCCGGAGCTGCTGAAGCAGAAGGTAGAGCCTGGGGCTCACTGGCCAGCCTGACCAAGCTCCAGGCCAAGAAGAAACCCTGCCTCAAAAAACAGGTAGACGCAGCATGAAGGACGTCTGGGGTTGACTGCTGGCCTCTATGTGCATACGCTTACATCTGAATTTACACGCACATTGCACCCGCACAGGCACACTGCACACAGTGAGACCTTACCTCAAACAAACAAAAAGAAAAAAGTTTACATATGATCTAGTAATTCCACTCCTACAGGTCTACCTGAAAGAAAAACACAAAGCAAAGAGGAGTGCTTATAATGTTATAGTGTGTGCATTACATAGGTATTTATATATAATATACTATATATGTATTTCCCCCTCACCCCATCAATACAAATCATATAGGGCCCAGTACTAAATAACAATCTTTCTTCCTTAGTTTTATTGAGCACAAGCCAAGAGAGAAAAAAAAATTCCTATATGGCAGTTTTTTATTTGTATCAAATTACAGAGTACCATCCATAAGCAGAAGGTTATAGTCTGAACATAATGCAAATGTTGGGGAATTAATAAGGTGTCCCAAGTCCATCAGATGTCTGAAGCACACTGTAGAGTTTATGTGGAATAATTCAGTGTGATTAACATTTCTGTACCTTATTTAACCAGTGTGTGCACACACACTTTCAACCAAATTAAATATAATTATATAAAAAGCTCAAGAATGATATTAGCATTAATTTCTTTAAAAAGTCTATTATATTAAATTGCACCTGAATTGAAAACAGAAATGTAAAAAAAAAAAAAAAAAACAAAACCAAAACCTGATCAATTTGCTAAATACAGATGAATTTACAGACAATTGAAGTGAAATAAAAGTTTCTACTGAAATGTATTCCTGTTTGACTTTTAAGAGGCACTAACAAACTATGGAAATAAACATTTTCCCCAGATTTCAGAGAGACTAAAGGTTCTAGGAGTAGCACTGAGCCCTCTAATTAATAGTGAGAATCATGGTGGGCAAAGAGAGCAGATAATTTTAATCTTTCTCGTGGCAGGAAGGCCTGGACGTGGTCACCGCGCTCCACTCCCAGCCTGGCTTTCTCCCTTCCGTCAGCGGAAGTCTGGCTTCTCGGGAAAGGTGCAGCCAGATCGCCTAATTATGACACTTGCCGCATAGTGCCCTGCGCGGATGCATTCGGTCAGGGGCTTGTCAGAGACCAGCTGAGACAGAAAACCTAGAAGAGACAAACAAAAGACCGTGAGCGCTGTGGAACAGCACCAGCAGTGCCGAGAGCTCGGACGCCGGCCAGGGACGTCCACCTCCGGGTTGGCCAGAAGCATGTTGGAAACCACGGGGTGCCACCTGCCCTGCTTGTGGGCGGCACCACCTAGCAGTTAGCGGGCTGAGTGCCACGAGAAGTGGAGAGCGAAGCGTGCAGCGTGGCCATTCTCTCTGCTTCCCGCCTGCCCGCTCGGAACAGCCTTGCATCACTGCAAGGTGTCTGCAAGTGTGTGCGACAACCCTTCTTCTCTGAAGCTCCATGTCAGGTGTTCCGTCAGTAATGGGGCAGTTTAGCGAGTGCTGGTGACATGTATCACTTGGAGTCCTTGGCGATTAAGTTATACTTTCACTCTCTCTTGTGGGTTTCCTCCACGTTGTTACTCCCGGTACAGTGCTATCTCAGGAAAACGCTATCATCTCTTGAGAGAAAGATTCAAAGCGCTGGGGCACGGAGCACACCCACAGGCTCAGTGCTTGGAGGCAGAGGCAGGAGAGTCAACCGTTTAGTCATTCAAGGCCCCACAGTCAATTCAGGACTGCCTGAGCTATGGGAGGCTGTTCCAAAAACCAACAAAATCTGGGTGGTGGTGGTAGGGGGAGAGAGGAAGAGAGTGAGACAGACAGATGCACTAACGTCACAGCTGGGGTCAGTCTGACATTAACATGAAGCTAAACAGAAACAGCACTAAAAGGAACCAGATTCACTCCCCTTCTTCCCAGTTTGAACAAATTATGTGGAACCAAGCCCTTCAAGCATTATGCGTTAGCCACACAAGGTGTAAGAACGGGAGGACAAACAAGCAATAGAAATGACTAATTGCTATGCACGGTTATCAGGTCACACCGTGTGGCTGACCAGCTCTGTCCGAGTCATATAGCGTGTGAGGAGGCGGGAACAAATACATTTCTAGACATTCTGACAAGAAAGATGGAGACAGAGAAGGCCAGTGTAGGCCAGGAGAGGTGGTGTCACTGTGGACTCTGAACAGGGGAGGGGATAATGAAGAGACACCATGAACAGTGTAAGCCACAGACCTGCCGCATCAGGCCAGCCGGCACTTCCTGGGACACAGGTTGTCCAAGCTCACTTGGCCCAAATAGCCTTGTGGCTACTGCAAGCAAAAGCTACGGTGGGGCTGGGACCTGTGCCCAGACAGGCAGGCAGGTCTCTTAGTTCTAGGGCAGCAGGACTATAGAGCAAGAGCCAGTCTCAGGGAGAGTTTCTTACAAAGAAAATCGCAGACCATTCTTTGTGTGGACAGACCATGTCCGCCTCCGGTGTGCCTAGTGCTCAGCTTCCCTCCATTCTTACTGTCAGTGCTTCCTCTCAAACACCATCCCAGGGACACATGCTGTCACTGCTGAATTCCACTGAATGGTTAAGAAAAACATTACCAATGCTGGAGAGAGTCTTCAGAAAACTAAAAGAAGGAAATGCTCTATACTCTAACCCTGACCCCAGCCTTACTCTGAAAACAACACTCCCTATGAACAGAGAGGATTCAGGAAAGATGGAAACATTCTGAAGGAAACTGGAGCAAATCAAATCACAGCACATAAAAAACAAACAAACAAACAAAAAAAAAAAAACAAAACAGGGCGGGAGAGGTGGCTCTGAGGTTAAGAGTACTTGCTGGTCTCGCAAAGTCCTGAGTTCAGTTCCCAGCGCCCACATGGTGGCTCACAAACCCTGCAACTCTACTTCCAGGGGATCTGACGCCCCCTTCTGGCCTGTGTGCTGCACTTGCATACAGGCAGACAAAACAGACACATTAAAAAATAAAAATAAAAACAGAAGCCTGGGATGGTGGGCACACCCTTAATCTCAGCACTCAGCAGTGAGAGGCAGAAGGAATTTGTGAGTTTGAGGACAGCCTGGTCTACACAGTGAGCTCCAGGCTGGCCATAGCTACATAATGAGAACCTATTTCGACCCCTGATCCCCTAACAGGATAATAAGAGCCAATGAGGTGGCTTTTCAAGTGAAAAAAGTGCTTCCATGCACACCTGATAACCTGAGTTTAGTTTCCAGACCCCATTATGGAAAAGGAGAACTGACTGCTGAAAGTTTTCCTCTAACCTCCATATAGGTGCCATGGCATGTACATACTCACTCTCTCTCTCTTTCTCTCATGCACACACACACATGTATTAAAAACATGGTACAGTAGTAGTATCTCAAGCTGTCAAGGTTAGGCTAATATTTTAAAATATTGGTATGTGTCAAACCACATATAAAGACCTTAGATCACCCTAATACATATAGAAAAAGCATTTGACAACATTTAATATCTATTCCTAATTTTAAAAATTCATAAAATAAGAATAGAAGGGAACTTCTCCACCTGGGAAAGAAATTTATAAAAATTTACTGCTGATATTTTTAAGGTGAATGACGAATGTTTCATTTTCTCCTTAAGACTAAACCTGAAGCAAGAATGTTTGCCTTCCTCCTCTGTGGCAGGGATCCATGGTGTAACTCAGGGCAGCCTCACCCTCACTTGAGTTGGCATCTCCCTGCCTCACCCTCTTGATGCCAGGATCACAGGTTACACCACCTGCCCAGCTGAAGTGCCCTCCCACACTCTCGTGGAGACTCTAGCGGATCAAAGTGAGCCATGAGGATGGAAAAGGAAGTCACTTTCAGTATCTGAAGAAGACAGGATTATTTATGCCTATGACTCACAACAGTAGACAAGGGGGCTGAAGACACAACTCAGCAGTGGAGAGCACTGGCTGCTCTTCCAGAGGCCCCATGTTCAATTCTCAGCACCCACACGGCAGCTCACCACTAACTGTAACTCCACCTCCAACAGAGGAGACGCCCTCACACAGACATACGTGCAGACAAGATAACAGCACACATGAAATAAAAATAATAAGTTGGTTAAAACAACACAGTAGACCAGGCCAGGAGTGGTGGCACACACACCTTTAATTCCAGCACTCAGAGGCAGGTGGTTGGCTGTGAGTTTGAATGCAGCCTGGTCTAGACATAAATTCCAGGCAATCAGGGCTACACAATGAGACCCTATCTCACCACTCTGCTCAAAACAAAACAACAAACAAACAAAAACCAGTTGAAGCTGGGCGTGGTAGAGCAGGCCGGTAATCCCAGCACTCAGGGAGGCAGAGGCAGGAGGATGGATCATTGTGAGTTTGAGGCCAGCCTAGTCTACAAAGCAAGTCCAGCGAAGCCAAGAGAAACCTTGTCTCAAAAAAAAAAAAAAAAAAAAAAAGTTGAATGTGTCATGCCCATCTGGTGGCAGGGACACAGAGAAGCACTCTACTGTATCAATGATGCCAATGACCAGAATTCCCAGGATATTTTGGCACAATGGGGTAGCATATCCTTTAGTCCTAGCACTTGGGAGCTGGAGGTAAGAAGGTTAGGAGTTCAAGGCCATCCTCAGGCACTCAGTGAAGTCTGAGGAGGCCTGCTTGGGTAAAGGAGTCTCTCCCTCAAAAACCAAAACAATAATACAAACAAAAAGCCTGAACAAAAACAAAAACAAAAGCTTCCGAATCTCCCTAAGAGCCCTGTGGAATCAGAAAACTGTTACTGTTCTAGTTTGGTAAAGCCGGAGGGTGGCAACTGGAAACCAGCGGAAGAGCTGCACTAGCACATGTGCTCGGGCACAGAAATTATATCTCATAGTGGACAATTAAAAGGACAAAATGCTACTTACTCATATAGTCCAACACATGAGATACCTAAAAATATACCTGAGAAAGTGGTGCAAGAACAGCCACGTGAAAAATCACAAGGCACCATGAAGGAAACAAAACAGTGAGCCAACCGGGGTGTCAGGGCTGGAAGGCAGAGACTTAGCAGCTGACAAGAGGCCTTTAACACTTGGATGTACGTTAGCCCAGCTACTAAGGAGGCTGAGGAAGGAGGCCTGCAAGTTTGGTATCTGTCTGGGCATCGTCGGAAGACCCTGCCTCAAAAACTAGAACTAGACTAAAAAAGAAAAGACACTGGGGGTGAGGGCTGGGGGTATAGCTGGGGCTAACCTTTGGTCATAGGGTTCAATTCCCAGCACTGCAGACATAAAACCAACCAAAGCGGAAACCAAAAATAAGACTGAGTGGAGTGTGGTGGCACATTCCCGTAATCCCAGCACCCAGGGAGGCACAGGCAGGCAGATTGCTGTGAGTTCGAGGCCAGCCTGGTTTACAAAGCAAGTCTAGGACAGCTAAGGCTACACAGAGAAAACCCTGCCTCGAAAAAACACTGTGGCATCTGAGAAATGACAAGAGAAAGTCTTTGTGAACTTGAGTCTGCTGATGGCAACTTTAGAAGCTCTCTCACTGTGACAACCCAGCCTCTAAGTGCAAGCTTTTCCAGAAGACACATGATCTGGATTTCATGTATATCCCTGTGTAACCTCAGTAACAAAAAACAACACCAATACCAGCAAAGAGAAATTGATGCCAAATACATGTAGGGTATAGCATTATTATTCATTAAAGAAATGCAAAAATGGCAGTAATGCACTTCACTAAAATGACAAAGTGGCAAGACCAAGCCTGGGTGAGGATATGCATCTTCCCAAACTTTAAGCACACTGATTTAGGAATGTAAAGCAAAGTTATTGAACCATTACTGCCGGAGAACGATGTGTGTGCGGCCACATGTGCCTAAGAGGGCAGCTTGTGCAGTCAGTGTTCTCCTTCCATCTTTATGTGAGTTCAGGTTGCCAGGCTTGCTCAGCACATACCTTTGCCCAGTGAGCCATCTTACTGGCCCTGGAGAACAGAAAATGATGGGACCACTTTGCAAAAGGATTCATCAGTGCTTGAAAAAATTAAGTTTGGGGCTGGAGCAATGGCTTGGTGTTTAGAAACCCAGGCTACTCTTACAGAAGACCATGGTTCCATTCCCAGCACCCATATGGCAACTTAACAACAGTTTGTTACCACAGATCCAGGAGATCCAATGGCCTCATC